CCCCCCCCCCCCCCCCCCAGTGGACCAGATGGGTAGTGCCTCCATAGGCTGGATCTGGCTGGTGGCACTGGGGGCAAGGTTTGGGGGCGGGGTGGCATTTGGCTGTGTCGGGGAGAAGGGGAGGGGCCATGGCCTGGCCTTGATCCAACCATATGATGGGGATGGATGCAGCCTTTCAGAGCTTTCTGTTTGTGAATTTTGGCAGAGGAGAGGGTGGCCATATTAACGGCCATTGTTCCCCCACTGCTAAATTTCCTAACCCATGGTGAGCCCCAGGGACTGGAGGCTGAGAGTCTGTACTGTAGACTAACATTTACTTCGTTATTAAAATGTTAGGTGGATGGAAGATGCATTTAATGACTTCAGAGAGAAGTCTTTAGCTGTTCTCATTTTTTGCAATCAATTTGATTTCCCACCAGACTTTTTTTTAAGGAAGATCCTCTTCAGTATTACAAGGGGGGAAACATCTTTTTTCACAATTTTTGAAGTTAACCGTGAATCTGACAGTCCCTTTGCAGAAGAGCAAATGCCATAATAAAATGGAAAAAAGAGTACAAAGTCTGTGTTTGGAGGAAGGGAGAGAATGTGGTGCATAATTTAGGGGTTTGGTTTTTGGGGTTTTTTTGTTGTAAATGGCTCTGTCTTTCAACAAACTGAATGGAATTGTGGATTTCTGCATAAAGCCTAGAGATTCAGGACAATAGATCTGAATTTCAAAGCTTAAATATGCCATATGTTTTTAGTTTAAAAACTCAGTCAAAAGCATGGAATTAAATTTCAATTTTAAAATCACAATTATCCTTGAAGACAAGTATTACCTCTTAGCTGATCGTAAGTTCTAAATTACCATTGGCTCTCTTCTGTGCATAGGACTAGTTTCTAGCCCCTCACCACTTCCTGCCCCATGCAAAATAAAATTCTGCATGCTTAGACTTCCATAGCTCATGTTGTCCTCAGCTTTGAGTTTCATAGCTCAGCACATCATGTTTTCCTTGTGAAGGTTGCAGGCTTTCCATGTTCTGCAGACTTGTGGCACTCCTGTGCACCATACAGGTAAAACTCCAATTATGGTAACACAAGGTTAAAAACTAAGTCTTTTTTTTTTAATATGTTGTTTTAAACTTGACTATTTGTGCTGTTATATTTGGGATTTGCTATAATTTTAGCCAATGTTAATTGAATCAAATGAGAGAAGCCTTATCGTGAAGCATAGACATAATCTGTCCTTGACATGCAGAAAGAACTTGAGTTGATGATACTGCTACTACTGCTGCTGCTGTGATGCTTGAGACTTGAAAAGCTCTTTGCCTTTTTCTGTCTCAACCCTTTGCCATCGAAGAAGGTATACTTCTGTAGGACCTTTCAGTAAAAACACCTGCTCGCCTTCATTGAAAGAGATGTCAGACCTACAAACTTCCCCCCCCCCC